GAGCGCACAACTTTACATAATTTGTGTACATATTTTGTATATATACCTACGAACTGTTATTTAAAACGAATTTTTTTTCTCGTATCACAGGCGGCGTTCACCAGTGGATCGAAATCTCTGCACGAAGCGCTCAGCGGCAAAGCTTACTTCCGATCGGTGACCGTGATGCTTCCACAAAACTGGCCGGACCACTGTGTCGGTCATCTACGCGGGATCGTCAGCAGCCAGGGAGAGACTCCAGACGTGCTCGTCGGACTTCCGCACCCGGTGCACGGAGACGCCCTGTGGACACAACAGTCACAAGGTTGCGGCCGCCCCGGTGACGCCATATACTCCAGTTATCGGTTGTTCCAAGAGCCCCGAGACCTGGGTAAGGAGCTCACCAAACAGTGGGCCAAATACCGGTACGGCGTGTTCGACGAGGTCGGGTACGCCGGCGACGCGGTCTACCCGTCATGTTACGCGTCCGAAACGTCTCCGGCCGAGGTCAACGGATGTTCTGACAAACCAATTTCCCAGACCAGGTGCGTGTGCAGCGATTGTTGTATACAATATATAGATTCGATAGACAATGTTTTTTTTGTTTACAAGACTAATTTTTTTCCTTCTTTTCCTGTTTTACAGAGCTTGTGATTCCATCAACACGACAGCATTGGTTCACCCGGAAGCAAAAACTTCACTCATGTTTTCCACAGCATCTCAAGTGACCAAGTTCTGCGATGCTTCAAGTCACGACCGTTACGCGCCCACCAAACAAAATGCACTCTGCGGAAGGCGGAGTATCATGGAGGTCATAAACACTCATCCGGACTTTACCAAAGGGTAGGTAGTCGTTGCACCGCATACACCGCAGTATAATTTAAATACGCGAATATTTTTGTTGTGGACGTTTAATTTATTTTTATTGTCGTGTTTAGTGTGAACTTATCCGGAAATCAAAATCTGACGCCCACGTTCATATTCAAGAAAGAAATGCTCACCAGATACGTAGTGGTCATCGAAGACACGAAAGATATGATGGAAAGGGTATGTGTCACAATATTGTTTGCGTAAAATTGCTCAGACTACTTTCCGAATAGATTTATTAATAATAATATTATTTTAATATTGGAATAATAATTATTATTTTTATCCTTCAGGAATCTTGGAGCTTTTTACGATTGGCTATTCGTAAATGGGCCGTACATGATCTTCCAGCCAACACGGAAGTCGGGCTAGTTTCGGCCAACGATTCTTCAGCCAACCGTCTACACGGATTAAGCAGATTACAAACGCCGGAAGCAAGAGACCAAGTGGCATCGAACATCCCATACTCTACTGGTGACTCAAGACAACCGGCATGTTTAGCCTGCGCGTTAAAGGAAGCAATTCAGGTATATATATCATACCAACGCGACTTAATCATTCGTCYGACTGTCGCACGACAAAGTCACCAAAAATAAAATATAATTATTTATCGTTGTGTGTAATCTTTGCAGATGTTGGAAACTCGCACAAGCAATAGTGGTCCCGCCAGTTCGGTCATCGTGGTGATTGCCCCTGGAACTTTGGCGTCATACACGCCGGACTTGGCCAAACAAGTRTCCGAAGCCAAAGATAAAAACATACGTTTGGCAACCGTTACGTACCCGATGCTCAACAGACTCAAATCTTTAGACTGGATGGCCGATAAAACCGGAGGTGTTTCGTTTACGGTCACCGAAAACCGTTACAACATGGCCACTTCATACTTATCCACTTACTTCAAGTTGACAAACGTCATGCGCAATATTATGGAAACGTACTATCAGGGCAACAAGGGTGATTTGCCAGTGGAAATCCATAGACGTGAACTGACCGACGATGGACGGACTGTGGTAACCGGTAGTTTCGTTTTGGAGGATCATATGGGMGAACCMGCCAAGTTCACCGTTTACACGCACAATACGGAAAATCCACTGATCAGAGCCATTACCTTGACCAGCCCATCACAGCGGGTCTACTCTACTCGATCCGATTCGTTATTATCCCTTAAAATGCTTAGTGTGCCGGCTGCCATAAACGAGGTTAATATTATTATCATTATTAAATTATTATTATATATTATTATAATGTTTTTTATGTTGATGTGTTGTTCTGTTTTTTATAAAGTTTTTAATTCGATGTTAACCGAATGTGTATTTGTCGTTTTATAGACCGGAACGTGGACATACCATATCGAACGGTTCCAAGGAAGTCCGCAACCGCATTACGTGCAAGTTATGGCCAAACCGCTATCTAAAAATTCTCCTGTGGTCAGAGCTAGGGCTTGGAYAAGTGGAACGACCAATCCATTGACGATTTATGCCGAAGTCAAACGTGGTGACTATCCAGTACTSGGTGCCAAGGTTGAAGTGTCGGTCATCCGACCTGGTTTAAACGGTTCGAATGCACATCGTGAAAAGTTTGATCTCTTGGACACTGGAAGTGGAGGTCAGTACAATTTATATTTTCTAAAATAGCGATAATCCGTTGTGGAGGAAAACATAATTTTCTTAAAACCAAAACATTTGTTTTTACATTTTACTGATTTTTACAGATCCGGATCTCATGAAAGGCGATGGAATTTATTCACGATATTTCAATCCGATGATTGGTGGACCTGGAGTTTATACTTTTGAGATCACAGTTTCGGATAGCAGTAGCAATGCGTACACTTGGCAACACAGCTCTCACAGAAATATCGAACGAAATCCCGTAAATTCCGGTTAGTATCAAATTTAAATTATTTTATTTTATCAATCTAAGTGACATTACTTAACGTCACATTATAATATGTACAGAATCGAACTGCTGTGGATCATTCATGACATCACCGTCAGTAGAACAACTGAATCCGTTTCAACGGATCATCACCCCACTGTCCGTCACATACACCGCCGAAGATTTGTCGTCGCCGTCAGCGAATGTGGGCCGAGTGGGTGATCTGAAAGCTGAGATTATCAAGTCTGAGTTGAAAGCCCGACTAACGTGGACGTCGCCAGATATGGGTGGTAATTCTGTAGCCCAGTATGAAATCCGGTATTCACAATCACTTCGATCGTTGCTCAATGATTTCGACTCTGCACCGGTTTGGACTCACGGCACCCCGCTGCCGTTGGCTCCGGGCTCAGAGACTGTGTTTTCAATGGATATGAACAAGATGCCCGGGCTCTTAGACCAGACGCTGTTTGTGGCTGTCAAAGCGTACGGACGTATCGAGTCTGATGCCATTGCCGGACCCATGTCTAACTGGGTCAGAGTGTCTGTCCCGTCACCACCACCTCCACCATCGTTGATCACCACTCACTCATCAGTGTCGTCGGCCGACCCGTCTTGGACATCTGCCAACCAGAACGTCATACCCGGTATCGCCCGAGACTTTGAGATGAATTACGACGTCTTGGTACCGGCCGCCGGTGGATTGATGCTACTGGCTCTGCTGTTGCTTATGTACTGTGTATTTTGCGCCGTGAAACGCAACCGGAAGCCCGAAAAACAGTCACCCAAGCCAGAAAAATCGCTCAATGTGTCTGTCATACCCAACGGCAACGGCGGTGCACTGAACATATCTTCTCCCATAAACGCCATCAAGACGGAACTGGAATCGCATTTCGAACCTTGTCTGATCGATACGGGTGAYGCGAAGAAACGGTACAGCGTGGCACAATACGGACCGGCCGCAACAAACGATCATCACTATAATCTCCAACAGCAGCATCAACAATCGCATCAACAACCACATCAACAACCGCATCCTTACCATCACCAAAGTAACGGTCACCTGAGCGTGATTGCCGGAGCAACGTTGACCCGTGCACCGAAACCGTTGAGTCCGTACCAATCTTGGACCGCTTCGCAGCTGTTGCATGAACACGAACGAAGGACCAGTCCATACGGTCAGATCGGTGACTTCGAGAATCAGTATCCGCCACCAGTGCCTCCTCTGCCAGCATACCAGCAACAACAACTCCAGCAACAACAGCAGCARCAGCAGCAAGCCAACGCGGAAAACATTTACGGAACGGCCCCTGGCCATTTCCAGCAGCAGCAAAACGGACTTCCGCCGCCCGGCCAGTACAACAACTATCACCGGAACAATATGATCCTGTTCAACCAAAGCCTGCAGGGATCTTTGAGTTCGGTCAGCAGCGGCGACAAGAAAAAGCGAAACATAACCATGGTATAATTACTGAAAAATGTAAAGAAGACGACGACGACGGAGCGTTGAAGTTATTAAGACTGACTACTTATTTTGTGTGACTTTAGTCTTCTCCGACGCTAATCGTGTGTACGTGCACTGTTCGGTCTCTTTACTGAATGTTATTTTATTATATTTTTTTTTTTTGGTTTCTAGTCAAATTCACTAATGTCGTAGACTAAAAACCACCACACGTACAACCAAGTTATATTTTGTTTTTTGTTATGATCTCACTCGTTTCTTGTAAAATACTTTTGTAATTAAATTAAAATAATTTCTCCTCTTATATAMTGATGGTAATTAATAATAATAGTAAGTTATTATTATTTTATTACTACTACTACTACTACTACTATACTATTACGTTCGTTGAGGACCTTTGTCTAGGCCTTATCATTATGAAACTGCCTCAAATCCCTAAATAGATATACTGACAATTATTATTATTATTATATTAATAAGTTGAGTGTTATGCACCGTTTTGTGCCTTTTTTTWAAAAATATTATATTATTATTATTAATGTAAAACGTATTGTATTGTGACCAAAAAATATCGTTAAAATATGCCTAGCTTTATCGACTAGCTATCAGTTGAACTTTAGGCAACAGTAATATTTTTTTTTATGTCCAAAATATTTATATAATGATATATTTTTGTACCTAAATTTAAGTTTGTTGTAGACTACTTAGCGAGTAAGCCATTGTGTACATTCATATTGATTATTTTGTAAAAATTATATATACATACCATATTATATTAAAACAATAATAATTGGGTAATTTTTTTTTTCATTTCGACATAAAATATAACAATAATAAGACAAGTGGTGATAAATACAAATATAATATTATAGTGATGAAGTCCCAAGCATGCTGAAGCGACAATGCATTGTTTTCTAGAAAAGTAGTATAGTTAATAATTATATTGGCTCATTGCTAGTAGGTATGTTATAATATGACATGTCACCCGGAATTCTGAAAAATTCCTTCTAACATTTTGAAAAACTCCRTGAAACATCCTGTAAACGTATTATCAGGAAATAAAAAAATACAATCAAAAATATACAAACTATGTATTAAATTGTATACATTTAAACGTGTACGTAATAATATATTAAAAACGTTTTGAGACAATATTAAAGGCAATTTATTCTATTGTAAAAAATATAAAACATTAATGTCGTTTATTAATAATCACTTAAATTACGTACGTATACTGTATAGCTGTTTACAAGTCTCACATACCAATAATTTTTTGAAATATATCTTCTTCCTCGTCATCGTAGTCGTTTTCTGAGGCACTTTGTTTTATTTGTAAGTTGTCTACGCCATTCTACAATAACATAGCAGTAAAACACATATTAAAGAGTTACATGATATTATTCTTTACCTACATAACTACTATTGAGTATTGATTATAATTTTCTTAATCACTTGAATATTATTTCTGAACAAAATGTATCAATATTTTAATGTTAGTAATGATGGACAACGCTCGATTTTTGAAATAGAATTATAAAAAAAAAAAAAAATATTACCGTGCTCACTAGTCAAGTTTTTTAAATTAAAACTCATTGTTGAGTGCAGGCGTATGATTTGTGGAATAATTATAGTAATAAATAGAACACAATATCTCACATTGATGCGGGATACGAAAATATTATTCAATTCTATAATATAGTTTATTGAAATAATAAATTGTAAAATTATTAAAAAAGATAGCGGTCGCCTACATATTAACATAATATGAATATACACATTACCCTGTGTGATTTCAACGATCTCTTCCATCTATTTCCTGTCCCTTGCGATGATGACCATCCATCAACATTTTGAAAATTTTTCGGTTCAAGTGTGTCATTACCTTTAATTACATTATTACAATTTATATAAGAAAGGTGTTRTATTAAATCTCAGTTTCTGAACAAATGTTTTATTATATTATAATCGTCGATGAGTGTACAAAGAAACTTTTTCTAATAAAACAAACGCTTTGATTATCGACTGTTATGAATGTTTTTTGTAGAAAATTGGATATTGTTGGTGCTTTTGGGAGATAAAAATTGAAAATGTTAAGAGCATTTTAAAATAATTGAAAAAAACTTACAACATTTTTGTAAACAATTTAATATTATCGTTAAGATATTTGTTTGTTAACCATGTTCACCAAAAAGTTGGACCATATTCGTTCATAATCGTATTTTAATATTATCATGTACAGCAAAACCTCTCTATAACGGACCCTCTATATTAAACGGAATCATCCTGATAACGGAAAACGTCAATAGTCCCGGTGCAAATAATAKGTGAAATTTCTATCTGTCTRCGACGGAAAACTTTTTATAACGGAAAAATAAACATTTTTAGAGAGGTTTTACTTTATATTTATCATTGTTTTAAAATYTAACACGCCCATAACAGTACCAATTCAATGTGAGGCCACACTCAATTCCTACTGAGCAGCAAGAGTGGTTGCCTACTTCTCCCCCTTTTTTGGTTAAATGTGAGACGATAAAATTGCGCACCGTCGTTTTGCTATCTAAACTCTAATAAAATATGGTTTGATCGCCACTGAAATTTTATGAGGAAATGCGACGCACTTTACTTACAATATTTATGAAACAAAAGTTATGATACCTATTTCAATTAATAAATGATCAAAAGTTCAAATAATATACTTATCAATAATAAGTAAAAAAAAAAGATGTAATCAGCTATCAGTTATCACCAAAATGAATTTTGTAGCCACTGATTATCTCTACTTTTTAGTAAAATTATTTATAGAGTGACTGAAATGTACATTTTATACATTGTTAAGAAGTGTCYTAAACCTCCGATATTTGAGGTTCATATCTCAATATAATTGTAAAAATTACGAAAGAATGTGATTGAATTTATTTCGTAACTGTGTGACTTAAGAGAAGACTAAAAATTACTAAAATGAAATGAAAAAAAAATGTTTTGAAACGTGTGGAAAAAATTTTGATCGTATAGAATTACTGTTTGATTATAATAATATGGATATTAATGTAATTTGTCTATTCTATCAAACATTCCGCTGTTACGAGTTTTTAAGGGGCTAAGTGATAACAACTATATATACATTCGTGCAGTATCTTCAGAAAACTGGTATACCATTTAACCATTAAGGCATAGATATTGTTTTATGATCAGGGTCTGTTACAAACATTATTCACTGCGTTTAAAACGTTTTTACCGATAACGAGTATTCCTAACGATAAAAAAAAAAAACAATCGCCTTTTGTAGAACCACTGGTTAAATGATGAAAAAATATTTTATTTTTTTTAAACTGACTAAAAAACTGCAATTTTTAACTTGTTCTATGACCAGGGTCTGTTGCAAACATTGTTCACTGCGTTTAAAACGTTTTTACCGATAACGAGTATTCCTAACGATAAAAAAAAAAACAATCGCCTTTTGTAGAACCACTGGTTAAAATGACGAAAAAATATTTTTTTAAATTAGGCATTTTTCAAATACATAACGTCACGTCACTTACCGACTCTAAACACCCACGAGCCGTCAATGATTTGATTTTTGAAACCCCAAGTTATATTGCCATTCGGCACCACCGAAGTCAACCACCAACTGTCGGGAGGCGAAGAGAACGAAGTGTACTTCCATTTGATCGGTCCATCCGTTTTAGTTCTAAACCATCTGACCGACGCCAATTCGTTTTCATACTGATCGGAGTACGTGAATCCGCCGCCGGTTATTTCTGCACAAAATTAGTGGACATTATAATATTAACTGTATACACACTTTGACCGACGAAATAAAGTAAAATATCTGAGCGAAAATTCTGCGTGGAGATTAAATAATTTYTTCAACTTAAATTTTCATCAAATCATCACTCGATGATTRATTCACGGCATTTTTTCAATGCGAAACAATTGGCACAGCGTTTTGTGATCAACAATATAGTATAACAGATTGAAAACTCAAAACCAATGCTGTACCGATATAGACCTTTGATAAAATCATTTTTTTTTTTTTTTGTTTAGTTAACTACACGGTAAGCCGACAATGAATAATTTAAACAGTTCAATCAACTTCGAGTCCATTAAAATATTTTAAGCGAGTCGACGATTATTTCAATTTYGCCACGAAAAGTCATTTTTTTGTTGATACAACGTAATGTCATAATAATAATAATAATTATGTTGATAGACAACATTATATTTCGTCTTCCTAATGTGATTTTGTTTGTATCGCAGAGTCAACATCCATTAAGATTGCAACAAATGAGTATATGTATTTTTATWTGTTTTTTGCTCCCGACCACACACGCCCATTATTATTGTATACGTRCCACCACGGCGCCATTGACGTTTATTGTTTAATCTTAGTACTTTGATAAGAAATTAATGAATGAATGAAGAAATGTCAGTAACTCGCATCAGAGATATAAATAATGATAATTCGCTTATAATTTTCCTAACGAGTAACGTCGAGTACAATATAAAATTATATTATGCATTTGATAATGAACGTTAACCCACATAATATATTTCTAAAAAAAAAAATTAATGTACGACTTTATAATTTAATAATAATATTATATTCTTATATGATGTTATATAATATTAGCACGCAATCAACATCTCTCTCTATTGGCCAAAGTCGAGTACAYGAAAATGTAAACCGGTCAATGATGGTTATTAAAAAAAAAAACAAAAAAAATCGTTTTATTTCAGATTTTAACGTCATAATTTGCGATTAAACAATATGGCAATAATATTGCAGTACCTACATTCGACCGCCTTAAAAATTATTATTTAAACAACGAAATTTTACTAACGCCGAATTGCAAAATATTATCACACAGTTTAATGTTGTATCGTCGAAAGAAAGACGATTTTTTATTCAGAGTGAATTTATTTTCTGTGGCCTTGCAGCTTCTCTATTACGAAATATCGTATTACGGACATCGCCTGTAGCCACAGTCTAACCTACGATTTTTCGCGTGTTTTAGTGTGTTGTCAGTGTTGATAATAATATATATACATACAACAGCATGCACTTACATAGACTACATGACTACTATATCTATAGGGTAAATACTGTAAAAACACTACTGCAATACAATTTTAAGTGGTCCACAAATAATGAAAAAAATTCAAAAACTCAAAGAATTTTCACACGCACTGTGTATATAATTATCTTCCAGGTAATTATATTCTAAATATTATATCATGTGCCATACGAATTGTGCATTTGAAATTAACTGTAAAAAGAAATAAAAATCTGGAACAATTAACTATTGATTAAATATAAATAAATTTGTAAAACAAAAAATATTATCATCAACAGAGTTTTAAAATGTCATGAAATTTATTTTCTTGAGATGAGTATTTCTATGAAAAATAAAGTGCATAGACATCAACTTGCAAGTTGCAAGAGAACATTTTTTTAAATTGGTTTATTGTATGAAACAAAGGAAGTACGATGATAATATTAAATATAACGTGTAATAATTGTTTAACAAATTTAAACTTGGCCTTTTCTTACGTTACAAACTCATAAGCCAACTCAACATCGYAACATGTTAACATATTTTAAAATACTAAAATGAAATAAACGTTTGATATTTGATATTTATAACTTATCGATTTTGGAACTTAATATCGTTAATTGTTTCATGATTATTTAAAACCAAWCYATATTTATACAAATAAATATAATTTTAAATTATAATACTTACTACCTATAGTTTAAAGTGTTAGAACTTTACAAGTCAATAATTTTATAAGTAAGTAATAAGTATAATATACAACAATTTAAGTTATGTAACTGTATTGCATTATAATTTACAACTTTACTGATTTTTAATCACTTAAGATTCTAATTAATCTGATAAGATGATTTAAAAATTATAATTCAATTAACACCGACATTCCTACTATATTTTATACTTATACAGTTATGAAGTTAATTTATAATAACTATCATAAAATATTAAATTAATTCGTAAACGTTTGTTGATAACTGCTACAGTTATTCATTCTCAATGTTTTCCCGTATGAAATCAACGCATTATTTCTAATCATCTATAACCTGAAAACGACGAAAAGAAGAAAAACAATTTTTCATAATTTCATTGAAAAATTCAAGTGAAAAGTTTCAAATTCAGAACCCCATTTATTAACCTTAAATACCAAGTATTTATATATATAAGCAAAAGTGGGCATTAACTAGGTAGTTAAAAATTAAATACATTTTTAAACTTGACTAATTAGTTTATAGTTTCAATCACTTGGCTCTTCTCGATTGATTTAATAATAACCCATAAAATTA